TCATCATCATCACCATTTCAGCCTAATACTACCTTACCTAGAACCTCCTCCCTTTCCCAATTTCTTCCACATGGGTCCGTTGGATGCGACCTACATCAAAGTCAAAGTCAATTATTCCAACTAAACCATAAATAGGTACTTTTCAAACGATTTGTCATCTTCGATGTTCATCATGTCACTTGGAATCCACCTTATAATTTGAGACCATCTCAATCACTATTGTGCTAATGCTCTGTTGGTTAATTCGGCCTTGGGAAGTACCAATGTGATTCTCCTAGTTATATGTACTTTCTATGATTATTTAGACAACACTGACATACGGTGAAAGAAACCTGCACTTATACTTTCGAATTACAAGTTTGAAATCACCAATCCGCTTTGAGAAAAGCGTGTGATTAATTCTCAAACCTTCGTGTGAAGAGAGGCCTTTGCTTAGCAGTAGGCTTTTTTGGATGATGATGAAGATTTTTATATTGGTCAAATAAACCTTAAGCGACACAAACCCCATCTAGTGATTATATAAAAACCCTCATTCGTAAATACTTCTATAGCTACAAAATTGCTTTTTCTTTTTATGCAACAGGCCGGCAAATGAGCAGACGGATTACCTGATGGTAAGCAATTAGCGCCGCCTATGGATACACGCAACACCAGACGCAAGAGCATTGCCGGCCTTTTGGGAATTAAGGAATTGAGGAGGGTACTGATTGGGCCTCAGGTAACCTCACTCACACGGCGAAACACAACGCTGTGAACAATTCTAGCCAGTTTTCTGTGAGTTTCGATTTACGAATTCGCTTTACGTTATGGCGGTTGGCGTTTTTGACTTTTGGAATAACAAAAATCAATCTTCTTGCGTGTCTCACGCTAATAAAAGTGCCTTCAGTGGTTAGCCAACCCTTATTGGAAATTCAGCCGGGGTTACAAGGGTTATAATGTACCGCAGTCCCAGCCTGGACCAGAATAAAGGGGTTGCGGGGTAACCGCAATGAGGCACCGCGACCTCGGCCCAGAGCAGGAGAAGGAACAGGGGGGTTTTTAGTCTGTAAGAGTCTGACAGTCTCTCTCGCCCCACCCAGAGCTTAAGTAGTCATTTAATGATTTTCTCGCATAAAAGAAAACACAATAAATAAACGTATCGGAAAGATGAGTAGGTACAAGCCTTTAACAGGCTATGAAAGAAAATATTTTTTGTATTGGCTATGTGCCCGACGGTGGCGACGCGTAGCGTTTACAAGATTTGCGGAAGCTGTCAAATAATAACAATGTAAACATTATAAATTTCTTTGCAATTAATAAAACCAAAAATTAAAATAGTATTGTTGACATTATTTAAGTGCAATTTTAATGTAAAATATAATAATAGTATGCGACAGGTGATCATCCGTATTTGTTTCCAATTTCTGCCGCGTTGTGCGCTGCGGTCGTTATCTGTCCACCACTTCTCGCTTTGCACATAGCCAATAGTACCAAATTATCGTGAGACATAAAAAATTGAAAATAACAACTTACTTACGTGAGAAAAACTTCGGTTGACAGACGTCGCCGACACGCACGCTGCTCATTTATAAAGGTTGCAACTCATCTGGCAGCACAGAATCGCATTTGTTCCGCCTGTGCTGCAGTATGCTGCTACATGCGAACGCGCGCTATCGCATTCCGCAGACAAAAAAGGTGAAAGGATGCATTAGCATGCTATCGCACGCTTCAACGTTCCAGAGTCTCCCTGCCGACCGACTGCATGTTATCCATGATGCCGATCGCCTCGAGGATTCGCGTGCTATCGCATTATGCTTTCTGTCTCGGTCTAGCAAATGGCAGTTCTAAGCGACAGAAAGAGAAAGGGCGACGGAAAAAGGCGACTCCGTGCTGCCAGATGAGGTCCAACCCTATGAGTCCCGTTGTGACTTGAAGCTATAATCTATCAGTTTAGATGGTTAACTAAAGGTAAACAATGTTGGTATGTCTTTTTATATTAAAGAGCTCGTATAAAGTACATACAAAGATTATTTAAATTCAGTTTATTAGCTAACATCGATTTAGGTAAATAGCTGATTGTAAACATTTTTACATACAATTTTTAGTCAACTTTTAGATAAAAGGACATGCCAAGATTGTTTACATTTAGTTAATTACCTAATCCTAAAGACGGTTTTCCTCCGTTAAGTCACGTTAGTCGTTATTTTCAACAACGGAAAGAATGAACTACTAAACCACGGTCAATCTTCATTCCTTTTATGACCATTCGTTCTTTTCGTAGTCAATTAAAATCCCATACTCATGACCCTTCCGAAAAATGCTTAACTTAACATACACAAGAGCTTTGGCAATATTTAGCTTAAATAAATGTCTTAGGCACATTTTCAATAGTTAGATAAATGTTATCTGAGGAATAAAATTGTTGCTGTCACTGTCTTATACAAACATTGTGACGCGACAGCATCATAATTATTGCCCAGGTAACTTTTATCTAACCATTGAAAAATCAGCACCTATATTATAATTTAATAGGAGAGCTGACTATGATATACCAAAATTAACTTAATAACAAATAAAATACAGGACTATTTGACCTACGGTAACCTCACTCACACGGCGAAACACAACGCTGTGGTTGTTTCACGCCGGTATTCTGTGAGGCCGTGGTATCACTCCGGTCGAGCCGACCCATTCGTGCCGAAGCATACTTATTGTTTGTGTAATACTTTTTGTTTTATGATTACCTATTAAGGGCTAATTTTTCAATAGCCAGATTATTGTTATGTGAGGAATAAAATTGTTGCTGTCACTGTCTTATACAAACATTGTGACGCGACAGCATCATAATTATTCCCCAGGTAACTTTTATCTAATCATTGAAAAATCAGCTCTTAATATTATTTTTTACATTATCGCTTTCTATACGTATTGTGCGAATATGATGTGTTATCACATAATATGACTTAACTTTTCTTAAATTTTCTTTTACAATAGCGACCCGCCCCGGTTTTGCACGGATGCAATGCTGATACTAAATTTCTCCACTATTTAATGGATGTTATTATACATATAAACCTTCCTCTTCAATCACTCTGTCTATTAAAAAAACCGCAACAAAATCCGTTGCGTAGTTTTAAAGATTTAAGCATACATAGGGATATAGGGACAGAGAAAGCGACTTTGTTTTATACTATGTAGTGATTTCATTATTTTTAATATTCTTTCTTTTATAAATAAATTTTAATATTTACATTTTGATTTCTATACGTATTTTGTGATTAATATGTTTAGTATAGAGGTATTTCTAAAGAGAGACGAATAAATGATTTAAGTTATTGTATGGGCCCAAAAATTGTGTAGTTTCCTAGGTCAAAAATAAATTAATTCGACGTTTCAATACAATAAAATATTGAAAAATAACTATACTTTTATTCATCGATCGATCGATACACTAAGTTTTAGATTTTTTTTAGCTATTTATTATGAAATAAGTAAGCTATTTGACGCAAAAATGTTATGACGTCATAGCTCAGATTTTCATACAAATTTCATAGAAAAGTATCGTTTTTGACGTTTGGATAAAAGAATTGAATTTAACTAGTTGGAAACTACCGTATTGTTTCAGAATCACAGTCGTGTTTACCTATGTGTTGTGTGCGCGATGACAGCGCACCTAGTGGCCGCAACTATTCAGGACTTGTCATCTGTCAAATTAATCATGTCATCTAGATGATAAGATGGAGGGTTGTGGGGTAAGCGCAATGAGTCACCGCGACCTCGGCACAGAGCAGGAGAAGGAACAGGGAGGGTTTTAGTCAGTAAGAGTCTGACACTTCCACCCGCCCGGCCCTGGGCGGGAGAAGTCATTTGATGATTTTCCACTCACAAAAAAAAACTAGATGATAAGATATTGATCTTCGACTAGTTTTTCAACGAAATTGAAAAAAATAGTGTAAAAAGTGAGTGTGTATATTATACCTAGCGATTTTCTTCCTCGTGAAAAATATTGATATTAAAATACGTAAGGGATTTGAATTTTAATTCTCTTCATAGCAGCTATCCATTTTTGTCTTTGCTGTAACGACCACTTTGATGTTGGAAACGAATAAAACTTGCACAAACTGCTTTTCCCATTGTTTTAACAATTTACGACACAGTATGTACTATGACACATATCGCAAATTTTTACGTTTTTATTTAAAATTATACAGGAAGTTATGAAAATAAAGCAATTTGACACATGACAGTCCAGAATTAATTCACATTTCTGCCACGTCGTGCGCTACGATCGATTTGCCGTTCCCCACCACCCACTTCGCACATAGCGATATCTAAAGGTAAACAATGTTGGTATGTCTTTTTATATTAAAGAGCTCGTATAAAGTACATACAAAGATTATTTAAATTCAAATTATTAGCTAACATCCATTTAGGTAAATAGTTGATTGTCAACATTTTTACATACAATTTTTATATAAAAAGACATGCCAATATTGTTTACATTTAGTTAATATCCTAAACCGATAGATCGTGTCTAGCATTCTTTTTTCAGATAATATTGGCAATACTTATTTTTGGAAAAAATTACAATAATACACTAAGGTTTTTTTTACACTTTCGCGTTTCACATATACAACATATTACCCGAGTATTAATTAGCGTGAAAAGTAATTATTTAAATACCTTGGTACAGTACGGCCGACGTATCTTGGCGAGTCTGAAGTTAGCCGTTTGTCTGCGCAATGGATCTTTTAGGAACAAAATTGTGTACTGCGCAGCTAATCGGCTAACTTCAGACTCGCCAAGATACGTCGGCCGCACTGTAGGCTTGACATTCTGTCACCCATCTGCTTGTGACCACGACCTCATACCGGTGCTAATATCCGCGTAATTATATGTTGTTAATCGACTAAAGGCTGATTTTTCAATAGTCAGATAAATGTTATGTGAGGAATAAAATTGTTGCTGTCACTTTCTTATACAAACATTGTGACGCGACAGCATCATAATTATTCCCCAGGTAACTTTTATCTTACCATTGAAAAATCATTAATCGTAATAAAAAAAATAGTGTGATGTTACATATATATTTTTCTGTTGGACGAAAATCTATACTAGCGCCATCTAGCGAGTAAAAGTCTCCATTGTTTACGTGATGTACGCTAAGAAAGTACGTATGTAACTCAACAGATGGCGCTCTATAGTTTCTTTATACCGTGCGACAGAGATGGAGAATGTATTCTTACATAATAATACCTATTTTAGCGTGACAACCATTTTGATCATCATGACGAGAAGCCAGGAACTAGTTTTCTATAATTTCTCGTGTCTTCGAATAGACTTTTGACGAATATTACCTGGAAAATGTTAAAAGAGAATTATTAATAATTATATAGGTACAGAGCTGTGCTTAAAACATACTAGGGATGTCATAGATATGAAATTTCGGCACCGGATTGGATACGGATATGAAATTATTTCGGATTATCTCTCACCTTCCTTTTTATTGCGTAATGTAACATAGCTTCTGCCAGCGGCTTCACCCGCAGTATGAGGGTAAAGTAAGGTATAAAGTATCCTATATGTTATTCCAGACTATAATCTATCTGTGTGCCAAATTACATTCAGATCCGTTCAGTAGTGTTTACGTGAGAGAGCAACAAACATATACCCGTAGCTTCGCACGGGTGTAATGCTGATACTAAATTTCTCCACTATTTAATGGATGTTATTATACATATAAACCTTCCTCTTCAATCACTCTATCTATTAAAAAACCGCATCAAAATCCGTTGCGCAGTTTTAAAGATTTAAGCGTACATAGGGATATAGGGACAGAGAAAGCGACTTTGTTTTATACTATGTAGTAAAGTAAGACTTAGCCTTACCTGTGTAATTCCTACTAGTAGCATTAGCACGACGTGGCCTATCGACCATTTTAGGACTCTGGAACAAAAATGTCTTTAAATAGATATTTTACATACATACTATCATCAAGTCCGTTTCTTTCTTGGCAGTGGGCGGAGTAAGACCTAATTTTAATGTGGGCAAGACAGATTTTGTCAGGCCGTTTTCTGTGGCGACCTGAGGACGAAAGATAAATATTCTTGAGCCCCTGTTCCGCGAGGCTGTAGGCGGTGGCCCACGTCGCCCACGCCTTACACCGCCTGCTTTTGGGGTAGAGAGAATATCAAATGGCCCATTTCTGATAATGTCATATGGCCCAATCCTTCCCCTTCCCCGATCCCTCCTCAATCCCTTTCTTTCTTTGACAAAGTTGCTTGTTATCATGATTACATTTTTTAAATGTTTTATATCTCGCCTCGTCTCATCTAAAAAGAAAACGTTACCCCATACTAGGATTTTCTCCTGTATCGTGGGTGCGTTTACAAACATACAATGTCACATACACATCACACCCAGACCCGAAACAACACTTTGTTGATCACACAAAGAGTTGTCTCATGCGGGAATCCAGTTGCCCAGTCGTATTGTATTGTTTTTTGTCGTGACCTTCACGTCTGGTGTCGAATAAAAACAGTTTTCTTTCTTTCTATATTTCAATTTTAAACTCACCGCGTGCACATATCCTCGGCCAGGTTGCGATCCCTGGCCTCGTGCGCCGAGTGCAACTCCTGCAGCCGACGCGCCGTCGATACCTTATCTTTGACCCGAGTCACCGATTCGGAAATATCTCGGACCCTCATCATATAAGTTTCGGCCGCATTACCTGTAGAAAAAAACAGAAAATCCAAACTAATATTATAAATACGAAAGTAACTCTGTCTGTCTGTCTGTCTTTTCTTCACGCCTAAACCACTGAACCGATATCTGAGAAATTTGGTACAGACATAGTTTGGAACTCGAGAAAGGACATAGGATAGTTTTTATACCAAAAATCTGCAGGAGGTCACTATTCCGTGCGGTCACATCACATCATTAGCCTATATGTGCCCACTGCTGAGCAAAGGCCTCTTCTCACACGGAAAAGGTTTGCGCATTAATCACTACGTTCGCTTAAGACGGACTGACGATTGCAAACTTATAATTAGACATTATAAGTCCAGGTTTCCTCACGATGCCAAAAGACTAGCAAAGACGGGGCTCTGAGAAAAAAGTTTCCTTAAAATGTTTACCTTCACCGTATGTCAGTGGTGTTTAATTATCATACCCAACCGATACGACCTTCAAGAAACGAGCGTACTCCTCCTTAAAAGGCGGGCAGCGGACCCTTATGCATGAGAAGCTGTCGGCCTCACAGAATGCCACCGTGAAACAAGGCTTAGGCTGTGCTTAGCTTACTGGAGGCCCAAAAATGTTTAAATCTCCATTCCTTGAAATCAGAACTCCAAAACCGCAGTGTACAGTGTTCAAGTGCTTTACAGCCGGCAAAGCACTTGTAGTAACTCCTTTAGCATTACCAGTGTCCATGGGCGGCGCTGATTGCTTACCATCAGGTAACCCGTTTGCTCGTTTGCTGACTTACGACATACAAAAAAAATACTTACCGAGTTCCATCTCCTTATCATCATCATAGTCTCTATCTTCGGGCTCCTCCCCCTCAATGAGCATGTCGAAGAACACCTAAAAACAACAAATAGGTGATAATGCTTGTCTTCCTTGAGATCTTGGCTATGATACCCAGGAAGGAGCAGGATAGGGCTTGTCTGCAATGGTTGCCACTGGCTGCCGTGCAACGTGTCGCGGGTTTAATTCCCGTACGAAACAACTCTTTGTGTGATCCACAAATTTATTGTAACGAGTCTGGGTGCCCACAACACCAGAAACGCAGAAAGGGCGTCGTCAGCCTTTTAAGGGATAAGGGATCTGAATATTGGAGGGAATTGGGAATGAAGGGGGAGATAACTCTAAGGTAACCTCACTGACACGGCGAAACACAACGCTGTGGTTGTTTCTCGCCGGTTTCCTGTGAGACCCTGATATCACTTCGGTCGAGCTTGCCCATTCGTGTCGAATAAATGTACCCTGCCCTACCTTCTCCCTCTGAAGGGTGGGCAACGCACTTATAAGTCCTCTGATATTCCATGGGAACGCCGATTGCTTACCATGAGGTAATCAGTTTTGCTTTTGGGGTATGACCTTGCTCGAAGCAGAAGGAACGAGGTGGTTGGTAGTCAGTAAGAGTCTGACACTCTCTTTTACCCTACACAGAGCGGGAGAAGTCATTACATCATTTAGCAGGATAAAGGTAGAAATATTTTTTAAATTAATTGAAAATAACGGCTTTGGGCTGATTTTTCAATGGTTAGATAAAAGTTACCTGGGGAATAATTATGATGCAAAAATCAACCCTAAACTTGCGTAAAATCATTGAGAAAAGCTCGACTAGTAGAGCTTTTTTCAGTGATTAAGTAAGTATAGTAACTATTCAAAAATAAGGTTTTTACTCACAGTTTTCTTGCTGAATGTACTAAAACTGTTGTCGAAACAGAATCTATAATCTCCTTCTATCGTAGCTGTGTTTCTGTGGGAGTTTTCCGGCTTCTTAAAGTCTGCTACTATCATTCGCCCGGTCGGGTCCGCCATTTGAAACGATATGTCTAAATCGCCATGCGTTGAGTCTATTACCTGTAAATTAAAAAACATATATATGTGAGAGGTCGGCTATCGAGGTGACGGATTACCTAATGGTAAGCTAGCCAAGCGCCGCCTATGTGTATTTAGACACCACTGACAAATGGTGAAGGAAAACATCGTGATGAAACCTGGAATTTATACATATAATACGGTAGTTTCCAACTAGTCAAATTCAATACTTTTATCAAATGTCAAAAGCGATACTTTTCTATGAAATTTGTATGAAATACTGAGTTATGTCGTCATAGTATTTTAGCGTCAAATAGCTTACTTATCTTTATATATAAAAATGGATCGCAAAATGTGTTGGTAAGCGCATAACTCAACAACACCTGGAACAATCTTGCTAATTGTCTTTTTTGTTGTGTTTTTTATTGTCAGGAGAAGGTGCTTATCAAAGAAAATAATAGAAAAAAAGAGGGGAAGATTAGGAAAAAGTGACCCTTTGATAGCGAGACAGTTGGCAGTGCGAACAAATTGTTGTTCCGCGAGTCTGGGTGTGATGTGTATGTGACATTGTATGTTTGTTAACGCAATCACGATACAGGAGAAAATCCTAGTGTAGGGCAAAGTAATTTAAAAAAAAAAAGAAAATATTTTTTTACACAAACAAAAAGTATTGTAATAGGTACCTTTGGAGTATAACCAAGTAATGAAAGTGCAATTAACTCCTTTCTATTGTAGCTTATCAGTAATGGGTAGCAATTTGATTGTTATTTTTAAATATATAAGTACTGCTTGGACGTAGTTTTATTAATGAAACGATGTTGCGGGGTAAGCGCAATGAGTCACCGCGACCTCGGCCCAGAGTAGGAGAAGGAACAGGGGTGTTTTTAGTCAGTAAGAGTCTGACACTCCCTTTCGCTTCACCCTGGGCGGGAGAAGTCATTTGATGATTTCAAAGCGATTAAAGTTAAAGTGAGGAGTAGTTTTTCTATTTAATAGGTCGGCAATCGAGCAGACGGATTACCTGATGGTAAGCAATCAGCGCCGCCCATGGACACACGTTACAATAGAGGAATTACGAATGTGTTGCCATTTTGGGCATTATACATATTATATGTATGTTTTGGAGAATTAGGGATTGGGTGAGGAGCCTCCGATAACCTCACTCAAACGGCGAAACACAACGCTGTAGTTATTACACGCCAGTTTTCAGCGAGCCCGTAGTATCGCTCCGGTAGACTCTAAATGCTGAAGATATGAAAACTACGGAAGTGAAGATGTGTGAGAGCCAAGCTTCGAAGAATGGGCCAGCTGGACCGGAGTGACACCTCGTTCTCACACAAAACCAGCGCATCGCAGTGGTGATGATGACCAATCTTCCCCCCGTTTTCAAACCATTTTTAGGGGAAAATCATCAAATGACTTCTCCCGCCCAGGGCCGGGCAGGAGGACCGAGTGTCAGACTCTTACTGACTAGAAACCCCCCTGTTCCTTCTCCTGCTCTGGGCCGAGGTCACGGTGCCTCATAGCGCTTACCCCGCAACCCCGCCCGTTTTCAAACCCTCAAATTTCGTTTCAATCGTACATCTTGTCAGAGTGGTCGCGGTCATGGTATGTCCTTGGTGCTTGGCTGCCTTTGCAATTTCTCTCCACTTTTTCCTGTTAGTGGCATTACTCGCGCACTCTACCATTGAGCTGGATGTCACTGATTTTAAAATGTCCGTCCATGTAGTTGGTGACCGACCACGAGGACGCTGACCCTCTATTTTACCTTGCACCACCAATCGTTCCATTGAGTCTTCGCTTCGAATGATATGGCCAAACATTTTAAGAGTTCTTGCTTGCACAATCATAGAAAGTCTTCGTTTGATGCGAAGCTCTTTTAATATGGAGAAATTGGTGCAGTGCTCAGTCCAGCTTATCTTCAGTAGTCGTCTCCAGCACCACATTTCCAGTGTGTCTATTCTGCCGCGATCCTTTTGACAAATCGTCCATGTTTCCGCCCCGTAGAGAAGATGAAGATGGGAAAAACTAAGCATCGCGTCACTCGAACCTGGGTATTTTTGGTTAGGCGCCTATCCAGCACATCGCCTTCGTATTTCTTCTTCCCTCAAATTGCTTACCGCCAAAATGGTATGTAAACTCTAATATTGCGAGTTTTTTTTATTATTAAATAGGTTGGCAAACGAGCAGACGGATTACCTGATGGTAAGTAATCAGCGCCGCCAATGGACACTCGCAACGTAGGAGTTACGAGTGCGTTGCCGACCTTTTAGGGACTAGGGATTCGGAGATTTAAGGATTGAGGAGGGATTGGGGATGGGGAAGGATTGGGCCTCCGGTAACCTCACTCACACGGCGAAACACAACGCAGTGGTTATTTCACGCCGGTTTTCTGTGAGGCCGTGGTATCACTCCGGTCGAGCCGACCCATTCGTGCCGAAGCATGGCTCTCCCACACATAACTCAACAACAACTGGACCAATTTAGTTAATTCTTTTTTTTGTTGTATTTATTATGGCCAGAAGAAGGTTCTTATCAAAGAAAATATTAGTAAAGTAGAGGGGAAAATTGGGATAAAATGTCACTTTTGTTGCTTTGATAGTAAGACCCGTGCGGGGGCGTGGGGCGTGTCGTGGTGGCCCGGAGGTTAAGGAGCCTGCTTCTCATGCAAGAGGGTGTGGGTTCGAACCTGGCAAGTACCAATGTGACTTTTTCCGAGTTATATGTACTTTCTATGATTATTTAGACACCACTGACATACGGTGAAGGTACACATCGTGAGGAAACCTAGACTTATAATTTCTAATTATAAGTTTGAAATCGTCAACCCGCATTGAGCAAGGGTAGTGATTAATGTGTCTCCTTCTCCGTGTGAGAAGAGGCCTTTGCTCAGCAGTGGGCACTTATAGGCTGATGATGATGAACCGGGGGCGGGCAGCTAGTATCCGATAAAAACTCACCTCAAATCTGTTTGTTTGAACTAAAAGAATGCAATACAACAATGTTTATCAAAATAAAAACATGAAGAAATTCATACCATTGTTATAAATGTAAATATTAATTGAAACAACGAATGACAGACTCTACTGAGACATATTCAACTAACTAGCTACTCTCTCGCGGTTTCACCCGCAGCTAGGCTGCTACAGATCGTAGCGTGATGTTTTATATTCTACTAGCTACTCTCTCACGGTTTCACTCGCTGCTCGGCTCCATTTAATCGTAGCGTGATGTTTTATAGCCTATAGCACTCAGGAACATTGTAGCTATATATCAGTGAAAGAATTTTGGCAATCCGAACAGCGGTTCCAAAGATTACCCCCTACATACAAACTTACAAATTTTACCTCTTTATAATATGTATTAGTATAGATTGCCTTCCTTGATAAATAGACTATTAAACACAAAAATAATCGTTCAATTCGAACCAGTAGTTTGGGCGATTAGCGCGTTCAAACAAACAAACTAATAAACTGTACAGCGTCGGGGATCGAAAGATGATCATTGGCCACCGTAAGCGCGGATCTGCGGACGGCGAGTCAGGGTAGCTCGCCGCCCGACCAGAACCAGACCCGAGCATACGGCGCGTAGCGTTCCACACGCGCCTCAAAGAGCCAATAGACCACCACAGACGCGGCCCTATAGGGCTGATGTTCAGCCGGGATTGCGTGGCGGCCTGGAGGGTTTTTAGTCAGTAAGAATCTGACACTCCCTTTCACCAAGGAGAAAGAGAAGATAAGAGAATATTAAGAGTGATTCAGTACAGAGACAATAATAATTGTTTGGCTGTTAAACTGAGTGAGTTACAAAAGATATGGGTTTGTTACAAACTATATAATTTAGTGTATAGTGTGTACCATATTGACATTATTGTACACTGCACGGTTGGCGCGGTGGCTGGGCAACTGACTGCCGCGCAACATGTCGCGGGTTCGATTCCCGCATGGAAGAACTCTTTGTGTGATCCACAAATTGTTGTTCCAGGTCTGGGTGTGATGTGTATGTGGAATTGTATGTTTGTAAACGCACCCACGACACAGGAGAACGTTTTTTTTAAGAAAGAAAATTTTTTTCTTGGTCTCTCCTTTAGGTTTAGCCGCCTTACACTGTTCCATACAACTTTAACACTCTCATTACTGGACAGTCCCAATAAAAATCCTAAATTGATGACACATTGCACATCTGTAACTTGCATGTAATTCTCAGTTCCACTGACCACCACAATGTTTTTTGATTTAGGCATTTATGGAAAGGGGATTTGAGGATTGACGATGGGGGGAGGGGGGAAGTATTGGGCTCCCGGTGACCTCAGCCACATAAGCGTTGCTCCGCACCAATTTTTCTGTGAGGCTATCATGCGCAGCTCTCCCATACTTGTGCAAAGATTACTATCTCTGTATTAAAACAGTGTAATAGTCACTAGAGTCACTTGGTGAACACTAAAACTTAACGTATTTGTAACATATGTAACAATTAATTGTTGGGTCCGTTCACACACTGAGTCCAAGGCCACGAGTTGGGAGCCACCAAACCCACGCAATAAACCTAAACCTAAACCTGAGAATAGTGACTCTAGTGCCTATTACAACAGTTTTTACTTTCTTCTTGTGCACATTTAATATCTATGCAGGCTATACCTACCATAGGTTAAAAAATCTGGGCCATAGACCCAAGATTTTTACAGCTGTCCCAATTTTAAACAGTTTGAGTAAGTGTAATTTTTTTTATTGTGAAATTACAATTTTTTGTTTTGAGATTTTGAATTTATAGGAATAAAAGACAGGGTTATATTTTGAAGTTTTTGTACAGATATAACCATTGTATTGTAGCATGTTGATACTCACTAAAAGTATGGGTATAAACACTTACATATATACTCATCTTTCAAATGAGATTAGTTCTTAAATTGGCTAAGGGCCAATATCAATTTTTAAGTTAAAAAAAAATAACTCCTATCGGAGTCGATTGCAATGCAATAAACTTGACTATTATTTTTTATTGCACGAAAAACGTGACTTAGTTAATAGATACTTGTTTTATTTTACGATATCGGCATAAAATTTTTATCTACGAAACACTGAAGGAGGTTATCTTTTACGGCGATAAAAAACTTACCTGGTACTCAATATCGATGATTTCGTCCGCCACAACTTTATGAAAGAAACAATCAATTTTCCCAGGCTGTACAATTATAGTCATATCTTTCTCGTAAGCAAATACAACACTGAATATAACTGTAAGAAATATGTAACGCATTTTGACGAAAAACAACGTATTTACTCTTCAACACTCCGTTTGTTACAGCACGGAGGGTTGGTAAAGTTATATTTAGTTCTCGTGTGAGTTGTTTCTGTTTATAAATAGAACAAAACGAATGTACGCTCGATTTAATTTCTCAAATAAATAAACAGTCTTCGGAGTTGCAAACTGACTGACTGATGGACCGGACGTATATTCGTAAACGTTCTGAAATTATTTTTTGACAGATCAGTGTCATTGTTTCTGTGATCTGAAATAATAAAATTATATTACATATACTGTAAGATAATTTACTACATTAATATTTTTTGGATGACTGAGTTTCTCATTAAAGCTTAATCTATTTTTTGCTCTTATTTAAGATAGAGGAGAAATTATATTTACTCATTTTCGTTCTGAAACACAAACACGTTCCAGTGTTATCGTTCCCCACATCTTAAGCATGTTTGTTTGTCTCGCTTGCACTTGCATTCATTTCCGAAAAGAGAATAACTATCAATGCTCAAAATGCTCCTATATTCCGAGATACGGAATACCAAAAAAGAAAACAAGAAACATGCACAGACTACTAAAATCTATTTAATTTATACTTTTTGCGTAAAACCTCAATTTGAGGCGAAAATAGTTGGTTTTTAGTGTCCCTTTAAGTTATAATGTCTAGTAGTAGTGGAGCGGGGGCTCCGCCCCAGGGTGGCGTGGTCAGAAGCAGCGCATTGTCCTTCGTTGCGGCTGCGCAGCCCGCGACAACAGCTGACAACGTTCCTGGGACTCCGGATGTGAATCGAGAACAGGTAGCTCAAACAGGTAAATGCGGTCTTGATTTTATTATTTATAAACAAGTTTCTATCAGGCCTTGCCTCCCTTACTACAATAAAGAATGTATTTGCCTTAATTTACTTAGTGATGAAACATATCCTTGCAAAATTTTACATTTATGACTAATAAAGGCTGATTACCAATGAACAAGTTTACCCATTGACCAATGTGGCCCCTCAGCTATACTCACTGACTGGCATAGGACCAGGAGGGTCCACTTGCTAGGTAGACTGATCTCCCTAACTCCTACAATACATGCTAAAAGATATCCACTAAATCCTTTGTTTCTATATTATTAATATACAAAACAACTTCCACAGATCGCCTGGTCCCTGCGGGATTGACAGCACTATGTGAAGCATGCTCCAGGCTGTACCCTGATCAGCCCAACCCTCTGCAGGTCACTACCAGACTTAAGTATTGGTAAGTGGTTCTATCTTGTAATCTATACTAATATTATAAAGACTGTAGAGTTTGCTTCTTTGTTTGTACACAACAACAAACAAACACACACACACACACACACACACACACACACACACACACACACACACACACACACACACACACACACACACACACACACACACACACACACACACACACACACACACACACACACACACACACACCTCAACAGAACATCTGGTTTGGATTAAAAAATTCATGTTGCTATTAAAGAAGCCACTTTATTGTTTTTTTTTTTTTATTATTAAGAGCAGTGGTGTAGTGTAACTCAATTAATTTTATAGTACAAACCTGCCACAACTCCTTAAAACCCGTCCAACTCCTGTGCACCAGGATCTACAGTAGATACAACCATGAAAACACTGGAAAACTGAAGTCAGGCGCGTCCCAGGAACAAGATTAACCGTGACAGGCTATTGATTGATTGCTAATGTTCTTTAATCTTCAGGCTTGGTGGTCATGATCCCCTGGACTACATCAGCATGTATTGGAATCCAGGGAAGCCGGAGGAGCACATTCTTCCCCATTGGCACTATGTCAGGTAAGTCCAGTTTTGTTTTGTGTTATTCCAGACTATAATATATCATCATCAGCCTATAAGTGCCCACTGTTGAGCATAGGCCTCTTCTCATACGGAGAAGGTTAGAGCATTAATCACCACGCTTGCTCAATGCGGGTTGGTGATTTCAAACTTATAATTAGAATTGATAAGTCCAGGTTTCCTCATGATGTTTACCTTCACCGTATGTCAGTGGTGTCTAAATAATCATAGAAAGTACATATAACTCGGTATAAGTCACATTGGTACAGACCCCGGCACGTAACTTGGCAAGAGTCGTTAAATGCGCAGAAGTCATATTTTAGATGTCTCAGGTACGCAAGCGGGGCGCGGGGTGTGTGACAACGCCGAGCCGAGTGCGTGATTGGTGCGTCAGTAGACCCTTGCCCCCCGCACTGTGTCCACGTCTCGTTCGCTCCCGAATACACTTGCGTGCCCTAAAGTTGATCTCTTTGTATTTGTTAACTTTAAAGTTTATTGTTTCGTTTTTGTTATAAGTTGTTGTTATTGTTACGAATTGTTGTTGTTTTTTTTTTAATTTTCATTTTGGTTATTACAATGCCGAGATCAAACGTTATTTTACGTAGAAAGGCCAGAAAAATGGTCTATGATGTGTATTGTTACATATCAAAAGAAACTTTTACTGAAAAAGAGACGGTTAAACGTTACTTTTAAATTAATTTAGGTGTTTTATTTATAGCACCTAAAAAATCTCACGAATTAATTTCCTTCCATTTAAACAGATATTGAAAATATATTATGGCAATAATCATAAAAAAATTACAATCACTAAAAGGGACCACTTTTTTTTCCATTAAGTGCACGATGCGCGAACTTGCCCCCACTACTCCAACTTCTTGCCAAGTTAGGTGCCGGCTACTGTACTTGCCAGGTTTTGAATCCACATCCTCATGCATGGCAAAACAGTACAATTTGTTTTAATATATAAGACCTTGCACATATTGTATTGATGCACACTTACTCATGTTTTACAATAAATATTATTCTATTCTTAAATCTTTTTCCGCTCTATTGATTCGTCGAGGCGGTAGCTGGGCAATGTTAAAAAAAAATGCACAATTTATTTTTATCTATAAAACTGCTGGTTTTCCCATAAGTGTGGGAGAACCATGGCTTCGGCACGCATGGGTCGGCTCGACCGGAGTGATACCACGGCCTCACAGAAAACCGGCGTGAAATAACCACTGCGTTGTGTTTCGCCGTGTGAGTGAGGTTATCGGAGGCCCAATCCTTCCCCTTCCCTCCTCAATCCCTAAATCTCCAAATTCCTAATCCCTAAAAGGTCGGCAACGCACTCGTAACTCCTCCTTTGCGAGTGTCCATGGGCGGCGCTGATTGCTTACCATCAGGTAATCCGTCTGCTCGTTTGCCAACCTATTACATAAAAAAAACACTATTTCGACGCAGCCACTTCTTAACTAAACTAAACAAGAAATATTTCTTTCTTTATCCAGTTTCGGAGTATCGGACCTCCATGGGGACGGGCGCGTGCACCCTCCTCCAGACATGTCACCGGGCGCGCCCTCAGGTTACGGGTTTGAGCTGACGATGCGATTGTCCGCCGAGGAGGGAGTCACTCAGCCCCCTCTGTGGCCAGCCGCGTTACTCCAAGCTTTGGCTCGATATGTTTTTACCACTGGTAAGACTGTTATTATTTTATTAATTTCATTTTAAATGTGGGGGGGGGGGGGGTAATTCTTCACTAGAATCTCTACATTGTCCTCACATAAGGGTACAATAATGTCAGACGGGGCCCAATAGGGCTGATGTTCAGCCGGGGTTGCGGGATAAGCGCAATAATGCACCGCGACCTCGGCACAGAGCAGGAGAAGGAACAGGGGGGTTTTTAGTCAGTAAGAGTCTGACACTCCCTCCTGCCCGGCCCTGGGCGGGAGAAGTCATTTGAAGATTTTCCCCTGACAAAAAAAAAGTGTACAATAATGTATACTAAATGTTATATTAGTGAAATTGTAAAACAAATACTTATTATTTTTCATAAAGAGTAACGTAATAACGTTTTCCCTCCTATTCCATAAAAAAATGACTTTCTAGATTGTTCTTCTCCATTCGAATCTTTTTTTTTTCAATCTTTATTTAAAATAGCTTATTTGCAATTACAAATATGACGCTCCGAACACAAAGCAAAAAGTAATTAAAAGTTTGGAAAAATAAAAATTAAGGTAAAGATGATCTCCACCTTCTTTCTTTAACCAAACTAATAAGCACCTTAATTAGGTCAAAAATAAATTAATTCTATGTTTTCAAAAAGTGTCAAAATTCAAAATCATTTATTTCAATTAGACCACAGTAGGCACTTTTGAATGTCAATTAAAAAAAAAGGAAAAAGTATTTCAAGAGCTTTAACTTTAAGCTTGTCAGTCTGTCCGTCTGTCCTGTAGTGAAGCTATTTGCTCGTTCCAGAGTGTAGATTCCTATGGAGAAGAACGAGCAAGAACTCTGCATACAACAACAAAAATGCAACACTGGTTACTCTTTTATGGTTCCATGGAATACATTGAAATATTAAAAAATAACTATACTTTTGTTCATCAATCGATTGATACACCAAATTTTTGATATTTATTAACAAATTTTTAAGAAACAAGCTATTTGACCCAAAAATACTATGACGTCATAACTCGGTGTTTCATACAAATTTCATAGAAAAGTATAGTTTTTGACATTTGGATAAAAGTATTGAATTTGACTGTAATTGGAAACTACCGTTTTGACTTAAGTGTTGTTATATTCAGGTAACAAACTATGCGCTGGGGACCACATAACATGGCACCGCGCCCTGGATGGAGGGGCCGGGGCGCCGCGCTCCCGGCTCAGACACCTTCTGGTAGCCGCCGACCCTCAACTACCCACCACACATACTCCACATGGCACTGTCACCTTCTTACAGGTAAGTCTAGTACTAATATTGCACGTTTTTTTTTTGTGAAGGGAAAATCGCAAATGGGGAAAATGGATTATGACTTCTCCTGACCATAGTGTCAGACTCTTACTGACTAACCCCCCCTGTTCCTGCTCTGGACCGAGGTCGTGGTGCCTCATTGCGCTTACCCCGCAACCCCGGCTGAATATTGCACGATCGGTGCGGTAACTGGGAAACTGGCTGCCGTACAACGTGTCGCGGGTTCGATTCCCGAACGGAACAACTCTTTGTGTGATCCACAAATTGTTGTTCCGTGAGTCTGGCTGTGCTGTGTATGTGACATTGTACGTTTGTAAACTTACCAGGAGAAAATTCAAATATGGGGCAATGTTTCCCAAAGAAATATATATTACACACTAGCTACTCTCGCGCGGTTTACTCGCTGCTAGGCTTCTACAGATCGTAGCGTGATGTTTTATAGCCTAAAGCCTTCCTCGATAAACGGCTTATTAAACACAAAAACGCTATCATATCTACTTATTTCTTTAAAATTATGTATAATTCTGTATATTTTTTAAATTAAGCTTTACCATAAACTTGGGGTCTCTCCTGTGTCGTGGGTGCGTTTACAAACATACAATGTCACACACACATCACACCAGACTTATTGTGAAACACACAAAGAGTTGTTCCGGAATTATCAAGAATTATATGTTTATCGTTTCAGATCGTAGGCTGTACTGGTAGAGAGCTGAAGGCAGCCCAACGAGGGTCCGGATTTGAAGTCCTTAAGCTTATCAGCGAAGATCCCAAGTAAGTCATTCATCTTATTTTAGCTTCATCAAGAACTTCTCAATCTCTCCTCCAAATCCCTAATCCCCAAAAGGTCAGCAACGCACTCGTAACTCCTCCGTTGGTGTCCATGGGCGGCGCTGATTGCTTACCATTAGGTAATCTCGTTTGCCGACTTATGACATAAAAAAACTTCCCCAAAATCGATTGCAGCGCCATCTATGAGATGCAAATAATTTTGTCCCGTAATAAATAAGTGTAGGAGAGCCATGCTTCGGCAGGAATGGGTCGGCTTGACCGGAGTGATACCACGGCCTCACAGAATACCGGCGTGAAACAATCACAGCGACATTTGCTACCCACAGCTCCTATTCCTAAATCCCCGAAACCCTTATCCCCAAAAAGTCTGAAACGCACTCGTAACTCTTTTGTTGCTGCGGGTGTTTAGCGACATATGCTTAACCCATTAAATTGGCTCATTTGCACTGAAGAATCGCTCTCCCACATAATTCGGTTAATTTATTTCTTATTGTATGAGAGACTAGCTAGTCTCGCACGGTTTCACCCGCTGCTCGGCCCCTAGACAGCGTGATGTTTTATAGTCTTAAGCCATCCTCGGTAAATGAACTACCAGACATAAAAATAATTGTTAAATTCGAACCAGCAGTTTCGGAGATTAGTGCGTTCAAACAAACAAACTCTTAAGCTTTATAATATTAGTATAGTATAGTAAACACAACGCTGTAACACAAGTGTGGGAGAGCCATGCTTCGGCACGAATGGGTCGGCTCGACCGGAGTAAAACCACGGCCTTACAGAAAACCGGCGTGAAATAACCACTGCGTTGTGTTTCGCCGTGTGAGTGAGGTTACCGGAGGCCCAATCCTTCCCCTCCCCCAATCCCTCCACAATACCTAATCCCTAAAAGGTCGGCAACGCGCTCGTAACTCCTCCGTTGCGAGTGTCCATGGGCGTCGCTGATTGCTTACCATCAGATAATCCGGCTGCTCGTTTGCCGACCTATTAAAAAAAAAAACATTTGAACTTTATTCTAACAACGAGAGCGACTCAATAATACTATCTTAATGTTATTTAGTTCCGAATTGTTTTATTTTATTGCAAATTCTTGGTTACCACCTTCCCACCTACCCCCCAGATGTGGTGGGGCCTGGCTAGTGACGCGTATGTCGCGGCGCTCGTCGTGTCGGCGCGTGCGCAGCGCGCGGGGTGCGCCGCCCCCGGCCGGCCCGGCCACGCTGGCCGGAGTCTCCGCCTCGCTGCGCTGGCAGGCTTGGAGCCCTGTGAGTATATCTATACTAAATTTTCACGCATATAATAGCACATTATTATAGGGATTTCAAAAACAGAAGCGGTTAAATCTATATAGCGCGAATAAATGTAACTTTTATAGTTTAAAACAATTCATGGAGCATAAGTTTTAAAGGCACTATGTTATGCTTATTATTATGTTATATTAATTTACTGAATTTTTAAATTTTGCATGATTTTTTAGTGAAACACGATTGTACCTTTCATAATTATGTATAACACCACTTCTATACCGTGTTTTATGCAAATAAATTTTATACTTACTTACTTACTTAAACACGCAATGCAATAAAGTTTATATTCAAATTCATTTATTAATTGTAGATCACAGGTAGGTACATAATACAGTTATTATCATAATTTGGTTGAGCTCAGCTGTGTCCTGCCCATTGGGCGTACAATAATGGGTTTACAATATTAATGTTGAAATCAGTAAATAATGACTGTATATAATAAAACAAGAAATGATTAGAGAAATTACATATTTCATAATGCTTATGTCAGATGTTTATTGTGATTGATTTAATAAGATTAAGTTTAAAATTAAGTATAATAACATATAATAGGTAATACTGAACACGTCATGATTTTTGATTCTAATTTTTTAGCCTATAGCACTCAGGAACATTGTAGCTATCTATCAGTGAAAGAATTTTGGTAATGCGACCAGCGGTTGCAAAGATTACTCCCTACATACAAAAGATACTTCTTTATAATATATATATAAGGTCGCAGGAAGCCGCTGGATGCAGGTCGCTTCCAACCGGCCTATCTGGAAGTCAATGGGGGAGGCCTATGTTCAGCAGTGGACGTCCTGTGGCTGATATGATGATATGATGAATATTTATATATAAAAATTTCGTGTCACGTGTTTGTCCGCGATGGACTCCTAAACTACTAAACAGATTTTAAAATTGATTTGCATTCCGTGTGCATTTTGATCCAACTTGAAAGATAGGATAGCTTACATCTCAATTTATAGTCACAATATTATTTACCTTAGCCACAACAACGCGTGGCGAGGTCTGCAGTATTAGTATAGATTTACTATACTGACTTCTAAAATATACATACCTGAAAGCATTTCTGTACATGTTAAATGCATTCTAATACTAGCCGACCCGACAGATTTCGTCCTGTCAAAAAAATGTTTAATGTGGCAGTTTTTTGATCCTAGCTATTTTATATTCTTTGCAAAAAAATATCCTGAACAGAACCGCCACCCTGGTAATAATTAGGTGTGAATGAAAAATAATTAAATAAGAAACAATAAGCATTTAAAAGTAATTTTAATAATGTAAATCATAATAAAAAAACTGTTCTATTTTCATTGTAGTGCTTTGTGATAAACGATGTTTTTTGTTTGATTACCTGATAAATTCCTCCACTATTTAATGGATATTATTATACATATAAACCTTCCTCTTCAATCACTCTGTCTAGTAAAAAACCGCATCAAAATCCGTTGCGTAGTTTTAAAGATTTAAGCGTACATAGGGATATAGGGACGGAGAAAGCGACTTTGTTTTATACTATGTAGTGATTATTGCAGCAACCTTCGGAACAAGCAGCGTCTCCCTCCCCCCTCCCTCCATCGGTGGAGCAACAGATCAAGGACACGCTGCAGCGAGGGCTCAGTTCCATGACGGATAGGAGTGGACCTGAAGGTAAGCCATCTCCATATAATCACTAGATCTATAAAAATGGATCGCAAAATGTGTTGGTAAGCGCATAACTCAACAACGCCTGGACCAATTTTGCTAATTCTTTTTTTGTTGTGTTACTTATTGTCAGGAAAAGGTTGTTATCAAAGAAAGTAGAGGGGAAGAGTAGGAAAAAGTGACCCTTTGATAGCGAGATAGTTGGACCCGTGCGAAGCGGAGGCGGGCCGCTAGTATATATATAAAAATCAATGCGACTTTTCGTTGTAAGTAATGTTATAACTCAACAATGCCTTTACCGATTTGGCAAATTTTGGTCTTGAATTATTCGTCGAACTTGAAAAGTTTAAAATTGACATCTACGCCAGCAGAGCCGCGGGCGACCGCTAAAAATCGAAAGTCCTTATGATTTTTTTGAGGCAAAAAATTTGTGGCGCCCTTTTCTCATGTATGAGGGTGCTATTTCAAAACCTTTCAAGTACCAATGTGACTTTTTCCGAGTTATTTGTACTTTCTATGATTATTTAGACACCACTGACATACGGTGAAGGAAAACATCGTGAGGAAACCTGGACTTGTAGTTTCTAATTATAAGTTTGAAAACGGCAATCCGCCTTGAGCGAGCGTAGTGGTTAATGCTCAATATTATCCGCGTGAGAAGAGGCCTTTGCTCAGCAGTGGGCACTTATAGGTTGATGATGTGATTATTGTCCAGGTCACATGTCGACTGACAGCTTCGAGATGTCCAGCATGGAGCGAGCCCTGCCACATGTACCGGAGTTAATGGAGGTAGGAGAACTATCCAAAATAATATAAATGTGAAATTAACTCTGTCTGTCTGTCTGCCTTCAAGCTTAAACTATTGAAGCGACTTCTGTGAAATTTGGTACAGACATAGTTTGAACCTCGAGAAAGGACATAGAATAGTTTTTATACCAAAACTTTGCAGGAAGTCACTATTCCATGGGAATGGAGTCCCTTGCAAAATCTAGTCCAATAATAATATCTACTTAGACAGAAATGTACCTCGGCCTAAAGCAGGAGAAGGATCGGGGGGGGGGGGATTTAGTCAGTAAGAGTCTGACACTCTCTCTCGCCTTACCCTGCTGGGCGGGATAAGATGTTTGATGATTAATCCCTCAGAAAAAAAATTGCTTAGCTTTTTTTCTAATTATTTCTCCAGGGTTCCTGGCGAGGTGATAACGATGTGGAATATTTGGAAGGTGTCCACATCATGCTGAATGCCGAAGGAGCCAGTCTGCTGCCTCTAGCTATAGAGTAAGATATTTCATTTTTTATGGTACAAGTCGGCAAACGAGCACACAAAAAAAACCTGATGGTAAGCAACCGGCGCCGCCCATAGACATTCCGCAACACTACAAGATTTGCATATGCGATGCCTTTTGGAGATTTGGGTTTCGGCGATTTAGGGAGGAATGGGGAGGGGAAGGATTGGGCCTCCGGTAACCTCATTATTACGTCGAAACACAACGCTGTGGTTGTGTACCTACTTACTAATCAAATCCAAACTAATATTATAAATGCGAAAGTAACTCTGTCTGTTTTTTCTTCACGTCTAAACTACTGAACCTATTTGTGTGAAATTTGGTACAGACATAGTTTGGAACTTGAGAAAGGACATAGGATAGATTTTTTAAACCAAAAATCTCCAGAAGTCACTATTTCAAGCGGGCGTAGTCGCGGGCAGAAGCTAGTATTATAATTATATAATATAAAGTTACGATGTTTGAATGTTTGTTACTCAATCACGCCAAATGGCTGGACGAATCTAGATGAATATTTGGCACAGGCACAGGATACACTTCGGAATAGGACATAGGCTAGTGTTTATCAAGACCACAGGGCTGGCGAGAGCTAGTATTTTTTAGATGGACGGATTTTTGTTACTCTTTCAGTAACAAAAATCCGTCCATACTTACAAACTTTACAATATGTATTAGTAGTATAATAATGGCTTATATCTCTCCCAGCGGTCGCATCTTAGCAGGCAGTCACTTTACATGGCGCGGCCGGGGCTGCGCCCTCACGCTGGTGGCTCCTGGAGTCCCGGGCTCCAAGGTCCATGCTGCCAGACCCTACACAGCCTGTTCTTCTTGGTTACAGGTAAATAAATAAATATAGGTACTAAATGTGACATGGTGTGACACATTCAAAAATCTATACTAATATAATAAAGAAGTAAAATTTGTAAGTTTGTATGTAGGGGGTAATCTTTGGAACAGCTGGTCGGATTGCCAAAATTCTTTCACTGATAGATAGCTACAATGTTTCTATACATACATGGTAGTTACAATGGCTCCATTTGATCGTAGCGTGATTTTTATAGCCTATAGCACTCGGGAACATAGTAGCTATCTATCAGTGAAAGAATTTTGGCAATCCGACCAGCGGTTCCAAAGATTACCCCCTACATACAAACTTACAAATTTTACCTCTTTATAATATTAGTAAAAAGTAATATAATATATGTAGGATTTATTTAAATTTACTTTTCTATCACAGGTCTTAGTACCGAAGGACTTGGCTCAAGATATGTCGAAGAAAGTAGCGGCATTTTCAAAACTGGCTGATTCGGACTCCGAGATCAGTTCAGATGATGAAAATCAAAGTCTCGAACCCCCAATGCTGCCTATAACACTAACCTGGCCGAAACATAAGTTGAAAATCACCGTATTGTCTGATAACGAGTTTTTATAATAAAAAAAAATATGGAATAAGTCGGCAAACGAGCAGACAGATTTACTGATGGTAAGCAAACGGCGCCGCCCATGACACCCGCAAAACCAAAGTTAAGAGTGCGTTACCGGCCTTTTAGGAATAAGGGTTGCGGATATAAGGATTGGAGAGGGGGAGGGATTGGGCCTCCAGTAACCACACTTACACTCCGAAACTATGGGCTGATTTTTCAATAGTTAGATAAAAGTTACCTGGGGAATAATTATGATGCTGTCGCGTCACAATGTTTGTATAAGACAGTGACAGCAACAATTTTATTCCTCGGATAACTATTGAAATATCAGTCGTTTTAAATAATCTTTGTATGTACTTTATACGAGCTCTTTAATATAAACAGACATACCGACATTGTTTACCTTTAGTTAACCACCTAAACTGATAGACCATAGTTCGAAATAGGTAAGCGTTGTGTCATTTTAAATATTGGAGAGCCATGCTTCGGCACGAATGGGTCGGCTCGACCGGAGTGATACCACGGCCTCACAGAAAACCTGCGTGAAACAACCACAGCGTTGTGTTTTGCCGTGTAAGTGAGGTAACAAGAGACAAAATCCTTCCCCGAATACTCAAAAACTCTTATCTCTTAATGGTCGGCAACGTACTTTCAACTCCTCTTACTTACAGTATAAGGGTTGGACCTCATTTGGCAGCACAGAATCGCTTTTTTCCGCCTGTGCTACCACGTGCTACAGTATGCTATCGCATGCGATCGCGCGCTATCGCATTCCGCATACATAAAAGACAGCATGCGATATGAAGTGATCGGCGGTTAAAGGATGCGTTAGCATGCTATCGCACGCTTCAGCGTTGAAACTGGGACGCCGTCTCCTCCTTTTGTGAAGCAGTCATGCTCGCAAAGAGAGAGGCGGCCCGCGTGAGGGAGCAATCCTCCTCCTCACGCCCCAGCAGCCGCAACTGGCGACACTACGGGCGTCGGGGATCAAGGGACGATCTCCGGCCACCGTAAGCACGGGCCTGCGGTCGGCGAGTAAGGGCAGCTCGCCGCCCGACCAGAACCAGGCCCGGGCGTACGCCGCGTCGCCTCAAAGAGCCATTAGACCATCACAGACGGGCCCTATAGGGCTGATGTTCAGCCAGTGTTCTCATTGCGCATACCCCGCAGGCACCGCGACCTCGGCACAGAGCAGGAGAAGGAACAGGGGGGTTTTTAGTCAGTAAGAGTCTGACACTCCCTCCCGCCCGGCCCTGGGCGGGTGAAGTCATTTGATGATTTTCCCCTCACAAAAAAAAAACGGGCGTTCCGGAGCCCCCCTGCCGACCATTGCATTTTGTTCGTGATGCCGATCGCCTCGAGGATTCGCGTGCTATCGCATTATGCTTTCTGTCTCGGTCTAGCAAATGGCAGTTCTAAGCGACAGAAAGAGAAAGGGCGACGGAAAAAGGCGACTCTGTGCTGCCAGATGAGGTCCAACCCTACACTTAATAAAAGATAGCTTGATCTCTGGGACAGCTGTCAGTAAAATCGCGCCTATGAAGTACTGAATTTAACATTACGGAGAAACGTTCCTGTCAATGTCATACTTTATGGGCATGCTGACCTAATTAGTGATGAGTGATGAATCATCGTGACCACAAACTATAAACTATCGATATTTTTTCTTAATTCAAAATTAATTTATCGTTTCATTTTATTGTATATTTTAAAATAATAACATTATTTACAACAGTGCGTAAATAAAATTTAAATACTAACCTACTCATGTAAAATTTCTTTCGACAACTTTGGGTTACGGGAGATTCTGAAAGTGATTCGGATATAGATTTGGGGTGTACTCCTTTGGAGAAATTTATCTTAGATTAAAATATTCATTTTATTTTAGTACCCAAATTATACATGTAATTTTAGCATCGATAAGTAAGAAACGTCGAAAATTACTGTCGATATTTTTTTGTATCAGGACAACCCTAGGAATGTCAGTTTGACGAATGTCGCAGAGATCAAGCTATCTTTTATATGGTATAACAGTTTGCCCGCTGAATCTCATTAACAAAAATATTGAATTTGACTAAATATCATTTTTTTAAATCTCTATTTCCAAAAATGTTCAATGAGGTTGTCGATAATGTTTTACCAATAATTTGTATACTAAATATTAATTAAGTAATTGTTAAGAAATTTAAAATACATATAAATAATTATTTTGTATTTTTGTACTGAGATATGTACCTATGTATGTATTGTATAAAATAATTAGAAATGAAATTAAAACACTAATTTTAAAATTATTTTTATTTGTTTTTTTTATAACTTTGTTTTAATGGGGGTAAATTATTATATGCTTTTCCCGCCCTGGGCAAGGAGTATCAGATTTTACTAATCTGTGCCGAGCCCGCGGTAATTAATTGCTCTTGCACTCCGGCTGTATTTTTTCTTAACCTTTAAGTGTGGGAGAGTATTGTTACAGTATGAATGTCTCGGATCAACCGGAGTGATACCACGGCCTCACAGAAAACCGGCGTTAAACAACCACAGAGTTGTTTCGCCCAGTGAATGAGAATGAGGTTCCTCAATCACTTAAACTCTAATATCCACCCTATTCCTTAAAATTCATAACTCCTCCATTGTTGCGGGCGTCTAGGTCATTGCTTACCATCAGGTAAGGCTGGTCGTTTGCCGACCACTGCCTCGCACTGTGTGAGGATGTCATCGGGCGAGGCCTATTACAGGCGTCCTCTAATGAATGACTGATGAAGTGATGACTATGAAACAATGAATTTATTTTAGCAAATAGGTCATAAAACGGCACTTTTACACGTCAAAATAGGTATATGCAAAACACTAGATGAAGCCTGAAATGATAATTCTACATTTGGATGGATTGAAATAGACCTGCATCCAGCGGTTTTCATACCAAAAAAGTAGCTACCAAAGTATTCAATATTTCTGAATTTAATATTGTCAAACTAATATTCATGTATGCCATTACTTCCATAACACTCACTATTTACGTGGAGTAATCACACTTTTGGGATTACTCCACGTAAATACCTATATAATAACTTTGCGTAATACCTACGTTTTGAAAACATATATGAACCTATATATATTTTCGTATGGCAAAAGGCCTTTACTCTAAATAGAAATGAATCTACAAAACGTTTATAATGTCAACGAAACGTCAAACGTTTTTAGGTTATAAAAAATAACCAAACTTGACAACCAGTTATCGCGACGCGACGCGAGATAGTTGCAAATAACTAACCGTTTCTTCATTGATATTTACTATTTTAATAACTTGTGTGTATTTGTTTGTTATTCATTCAAAATGCGTAGGAACAATTCTCAACTTTGGAACTATTTCGATAAGGAACCGAATCGAAAATCTGCCGTGTGTCGATTTTGTCATAAAGCGTATTCGTTTCAATCAACAACGGCTAATTTAAAAGGTCATTTGAGGAACTGTCATCCAGATATTTATGATAGAACGGATTGGGAGCGAAGGACGGGCGATAACGAAGGTAACTCGTACATAAAGTTATTACACATTGTCGTTATTACTGTTTTGACTTATCAACTAGAAAATATAAGTATAAACATGTATTTTTGTTCTAAGATTACGGCTTTATGAGCGTTTTTTCAGTGAATAGAATGAAAAATACTATTAAATAAGTTTTTGTTGTTCGCCAGAATCGTAAAACGCCAATCAGTAACGTTTTAAGTTGATAAAGAATCAAAACAGGCGTTTATGTTAAGAACTTCATTTTCGTAGTTACTTAAACGTATAGATAAGGCAGTTTTTTCAATAAAGTTGCTATAATATCGATATGGTACCGATTACAAATGCGTCTATTTCCTGTACTGTTTTTTGTCTCATATATTCTCTTGATTTGTTATACCTACATGTTTATACCTTGTCGATAAAGTGGCTGGGTGGAATGGCTGTTGCTATTTGGGCTTGATTCTCTGCAGAGAAACAATATTCTTTGTTGTGTTTAGTAAACACACAAAAACAACATTTGTAAACCTAACCTACCTCACCCTAGTAGCTACGATAAATAACTTATATTAGTTTAGATTATAAACGTTATTTTGAGTTATTCTGCCTCTCTAGTAGAAAGGTCAAAATAATACTTAGGTTACCTACAATTTTATTATTTTTTCATCAATTTGTAATCTGTGTTATATATAGTTGACAAAAACAATAACCAATATGAATTTATTTCTAATGTAACAATTAAAAATTAACTGTTTCTGATAGTTGTAACTGACGGATAATTAGTTATTTTCCATTCGAAATATATTTGTTATTAAAAAAATATAAAGTGAAAGAAGCACCAAACTGTTTTGATTAAAAACATAACCTCAACGTTGACCTCTTGAATTTTAACGCGTTAAAAATTACTTTTCTTCTTAGAATATCAATGAAAATACACAAGTTAATAACGGTCTAATTATATTCCATTTAAGTAGGATTCTTACAATAACTAACTATAATTTTAAGTCTTTAAGGTTACGTACTAGTAAAAGCCAAGCAAACGTTGCCATAACTCCCAATGTGTACTCCTCACTACCCAGCTTGATAAACAAGTTGAGTAATTTACCACCGTAACTTGAACCTTCTCGCTGGTTCTACTTTTACAAGAGAGGGTAATAAAAATGTTAAAAACTAGATTTAGGACATAAAATAAGACTGTATGCATATAACTTACTAAACATTAGTTATAATTATTATTTATTGCTTATAATTTTTCAGTAATTCTTTGAAAAATCGACGTATTTATAGTAATGTTTTTTTTTCGCTAATATTTGCTTCTGGTATCACGCTATAATGGATGTCTTAGTTCGTACTAAAAATTCTAGATGGCGTTAGCAGTACCGATTCAAGTATGAAAACTTTAGAAAGTATATTTACTTTCTGTGATATTTTCGATGTATCTTTTCGTTGAATGTTGTTACCGATTGTTATCGTTATCTTTAATCAGAATTTAACTGACTGGAATTAACGATATTTAAAGTTTGGATCGGATTTCGCAACTG